CAGTAGTAGTAGTACAGCAGTAGTAGCAGCAGTAGTAGCAGTAGTAGCAGCAGTAGTAGTAGTAGCCAGTAGTAGCAGCAGTAGTAGCAGTATAGTAGTAGTAGCAGTAGTAGCAGTAGTAGTAGTAGTAGCAGTAGTAGCAGCAGTAGTAGCAGTAGTAGCGCAGTAGTATAGTAGTAGCAGTAGTAGTAGTAGTACAGTAGTAGCAGCATAGTAGAGAGTAGCAGTATAGTAGCAGTAGTAGCAGTAGTAGTAGTAGCAGCAGTAGTAGCAGCAGTAGTAGCATAGTAGCAGCAGTAGTAGTAGTAGTAGCAGTAGTAGCAGCAGTAGTATAGTGCAGCAGTAGTATAGTAGCAGCAGTAGTAGCATAGTAGTAGTAGTAGTAGCAGTAGTAGCAGTAGTATGGCAGCAGTAGTAGTAGTAGTAGGCAGTAGTAGTAGCTAGCAGCATTAGTAGTAGTAGCAGCAGTAGTAGCAAGTAGTTTTAGCAGCAGTAGTTAGCAGCTAGTAGTAGTTAGTAGCAGTAGTAGTTAGTAGCAGTAGTAGTTAGTTAGCAGTAGTAGTAGTAGCAGTAGTAGCAGCAGTAGTAGCAGTCGTAGCACGTAGTAGCCAGTAGTAGCAGTAGTAGTAGTTAGCAAGCCTAGTAGAATTTTTTTTTTTTTTGCAGTATGTAGCAGTAGTCGTAGTAGCAGTAGTAGCCGCAGTAGTAGTAGCGTTAGTAGCAGCAGTAGTAGCAGTAGTAGTAGACTAGCAGCCGCTATAGTCGCAGTAGTAGTAGTAGCAGCAGTAGTAGCAGTAGTAGCAGCAGTAGTCGTAGTAGCAGCAGTAGTAGTAGTCGTAGCAGTCAGTAGTCGCACAGTAGTAGTAGTAGCAGTAGCGCCTCGTAGTAGCATGTTAGTAGCAGCATGTAGCATAGTGCAGTCTGTAGCAGTAGTAGCAGTAGTAGTAGCGTAGTAGTAGTAGCAGCAGTAGTAGCAGTAGTAGCAGTAGATAGTAGTAGCAGTAGTAGCAGCAGTAGTAGTAGTAGTAGTAGCAGTATAGTAGCAGTTAGTATAGTAGTAGCAGTAGTAGTAGTAGCAGTAGTAGCAGTAGTAGCAGTAGTATAGTAGTAGCAGTAGTAGCAGTAGTAGTAGCAGTAGTAGCAGTAGTAGCAGTAGTAGTAGTAGCAGTAGTACAGCAGTAGTAGTAGTAGCAGTAGTAGTAGTAGCAGTAGTAGCAGCAGTAGTAGCACGCAGTAGTAGTAGTAGTAGCTAGTAGTAGTAGCAGCAGAGTAGTAGTAGTAGTAGCAGTAGTAGTAGCAGTAGTAGTAGTAGTAGCAGTAGTATAGTAGTAGCAGTAGTAGCAGTAGTAGTAGTAGTAGCAGTAGTAGCAGTAGTAGTAGCAGCAGTAGCAGTAGTAGCAGTAGTAGTAGTAGCAGTAGTAGCAGCAGTAGTAGTAGTATAGTAGCAGTAGTAGTAGTCGCAGTCGTGAGCAGCAGTAGTCGTAGCAGCAGTAGTTAGCAGCCCGTAGTAGTAGTAGTAGCAGTTAGTAGTAGTAGCAGCCGTAGCTATCAGTCGTAGTAGTAGCAGCAGTAGTAGTTAGTAGCAGTAGTAGTTAGTAGAAGTAGTAGTTAGTAGTAGTAGTAGCTAGTTAGTAGTAGTAGCAGTAGTAGTCGTAGCAGTCAGTAGCAGCAGTAGTAGCAGTCAGCTGTAGCAGTAGTAGCAGTAGTAGCAAGTCGTAGTAGTAGCAGACAGTAGTAGCAGTAGTTAGCAGTAGTAGTAGTAGCCGTAGTAGCAAGCAGTAGTAGTAGTAGTTAGTAGCTAGGTAAGTAGTAGTGCAGTAGTAGTAGTAGTAGCAGTAGTTAGTAGCAGTAAGTAGAGCAGTGTAGCAGTAAGTAGTAGTAGCGCAGTAGTAGGCAGTGTAGCAGTAGTAGTAGCAGCAGTAGTAGCAGTAGTAAGCAGTAGTAGTAGTAGCAGTAGTAGCAGCAGTAGTAGTAGTAGTAGTACAGTAGTAGTATTAGCAGTAGTGCGCAGTTGTAGTAGCAGCAGTAGTAGTAGTGTAGCCTTAGTAGGTAGCAGTAGTAGCATCCAGTAGTAGCAGTAGTAGCAGCTAGTAGTAGTAGCAGTAGTAGCAGCAGTAGTAGCAGTCTAGTTAGTAGTCAGTTCAGTCGGCGCAGCAGCAGTAGCAGCAGTAGTATCAGTAGTAGTTAGTAGCAGTAGTAGTAGTAGCAGTAGTTAGCAGCAGTAGTAGCAGCAGTAGCAGCAGCAGTAGTAGCAGTAGTAGTAGTAGCAGTAGTAGCAGCGTAGTAGCAGCAGTAGTTAGCAGCAGTAGTAGCAGTAGTAGTCAGTAGTAGTAGCAGTTCGCCAGCAGTAGTAGTAGCGCCAGTAAGTAGCAGCAGTAGTAGCAGCAAGTAGTAGCAGCAGTAGTAGCAAGTTAGTAGTAAGTAGCAGTAGTAGCACGTCAGTAGCGCAGGCAGGTAGTAGCAGCAGTAGAGAGCACTAGGACAGTAGTAGTAGTAGCAGTAGTAGCAGCAGCAGTCTAGTAGTCAGGTAGTAGCCGCAGCAGTCGTATGCAGTAGTAGCAGTAGTAGTATAGCAGTAGTACAGCAGCAGTAGTAGTAGCAGCAGTAGTAGCAGCAGTAGTAGCAGTATAGTAGTGCAGTTAGCAGCAGCAGTAGTAGCAGTAGTAGTAGCAGCAGCAGCAGTAGTAGCAGCAGTAGTAGCAGCAGTAGTAGCAGTAGTAGCAGTAGTAGTAGCAGTAGTCAGTAGTAGTAGGCAGTAGGAGCGTAGTAGCAGTAGCAGTAGTAGCAGCAGCAGCAGTAGTAGCAGCAGTATAGTAGCAGTAGTAGCAGTAGCAGTAGTAGCAGCAGCAGTAGTAGCAGCAGTAGTAGCATAGTAGTAGCATAGTAGTAGCACAGCAGTAGTAGCGAGTAGTAGCAGCAGCAGCAGTAGTAGTAGCAGTAGTAGCAGCACGCAGTAGTAGCAGCAGTAGTAGCAGCAGCAGTAGTAGCAGCAGCAGCAGTAGTAGCACAGTAGCAGCAGCAGTAGTAGCAGCAGCAGCAGTAGTAGCAGCAGCAGCAGTAGCAGCAGCAGTAGCAGCAGCAGTAGTAGCAGCAGCAGTAGTACAGCAGCAGCAGTAGTAGCAGCAGTAGTAGCAGCAGTAGTAGCAGCAGCAGCAGTAGTAGCAGCAGTAGTAGCAGCAGTAGTAGCAGCAACAGCAGCAGCAGCAGCTAGTAGCAGCAGCAGCAGCAGCAGTAGTAGCAGCAGTAGTAGTAGCAGCAGCAGCGTAGTAGTAGTAGTAGCAGTAGTAGCAGCAGCAGCAGTAGTAGTAGCAGCAGCAGTAGTATAGCATAGTAGCAGCAGCAGCAGTAGTAGCAGCAGCAGTAGTAGTAGCAGTAGTAACAGCAGCAGCAGTAGCAGCAGCAGTAGTAGCAGCAGCAGCAGTAGTAGCAGCAGCAGCAGTAGTAGCAGCAGCAGCAGTAGTAGCAGCAGCAGCAGTAGTAGCAGCAGTAGCAGCAGCAGTAGTAGCAG